TCATAATAATGAACAGATGTTGCAAACATTATTGGCTGAGATTAAAAATTTAAAAAAATAATTGTTTTTTATTACTACCTTAATTCAATTAATTCAACCCAGTCTGTTTTTATTTTTATAATAAAATTCTAGATTCTGATTGCAAACTTGAGATTAAATTAATTTTTCAAGAGAACTTAATAATAAATATTTTATTACAATTTTTGATGATATTCAAGTATTTTCCTACAAAAATTTTAAATTGGTAATTTTCCGTGTTACTGTTGTCTTTTTCTAAATTCCGTCGATTTTAAATTAATTTGTTTGGTTTTCCGCTCCCCAATTTTTTTTGTTCGAAAAAAGGTTCGAATAAAAAATATGTTGATTGTTGATCATATATTGAATTGGGATGATTCGTAATAATAAATAAGATTTTATATAATAATTATTATTATTATTTTAAATTGGTGAATAATAGATTTTTGACTTAGGAATAACTCATGTGATTGGGTAGAATTAATTGCTTTTTTTATCATCATGATTAATATTACTTTTTTTCCAATTGTTAATTTTTTGAGGAATATATACTTGGAACAAAACAAACTATGAATTATTAAAAAAAATTATTTTTTATTGGGTAAAATAAAAAAAAATCCGCGACTGATAAACCTGATTTGCGTCAAACAAAATCCGAAAAACATCTTTTCAATTGTTTACACGTCAAAATCCGAAAAACATTTTTTCAATTGTTTACACAGCTGCGCAACCTAAATTATTACTTTTTTATTGGGTGAAATAAAAAAAATTACGTCAGTATCCGAAAAACGGGTTTTAAATTATACGGATAACGTTATATGATAACGAGAAGTTACTATTAAAGTATTAAAGTGAGAGTTCGTTGGTAAGCTGTTTGAACATGACATCTGCAATGGAACGATAGGTGTGATCACCAAAGTTACAGATGATGATAATGTAGAAAATACTTTTCCAACTAATGGTAATATTATTAAAATGAACGTTCAAAAAATCACTATAAATTTTGAAATCAACAGTACGCATGCCTCGAGGTTCCAATTCCCATTGCAGAACGCATTTGCCTTGACACAAGACCCAAGGTGTGACATTGCCACATTCTAACGATTGATGAAAATATGTTTGCCCCAGGTCAGATCTATGTGACAATGAGCAGAGCTCCTTCTTGGAACCAGTTGGATATCCTTTCATTTAATTTTGATTGCCTGAAGGTGGATAAAGATGTTGTGACTGAATACAGAAGATTAAATCCTTTACACCAAAACGGTCTAAAAAATATTATTAACGAATGAATTAATTGATTAAAAAAAAAATTATTTTTGATGTAACACGTGCTCACTTTGCATCCGAAATTTTAATCTTGTTGAAATGTGGTTTTGAAATAAAAAAAGTTCATGTGCCAGTTGTGCAATTAAATTAATTTTGTTTGGAAAATGGCAAATTCAACCAATGTAACTCGATCTACAATATAATAGTTCGAAATTATATAGTAACGGTAATAGATAAATAAATATTAGAGAAGCCAAGAGTATTTTATATGATACGGCGTATTAATTATACAAAAAAAAAGTATCAGACACCTCAAATATATTAATTACACAAAAAATTTATAGCTTATGTTCTGAGGTTGTGTATATATACTGTATACTCAAACAATTAAATATAAAGAAATTCGAAAAACAAATCTTGGCGCGTAACAATTACTCTAAAACATACATAATAATGTGTTAGTCTATGGTATTTGTGAAAAAATTTTCCTATTTAGGGATGGGCAATAGAAACAAGGTAAATGTCTACTGTAGTAGTATTGTCCATACCCCATTTATGGACTAAAAAAAAATTTCAACTCACTTTATATTTAACTATATTTATGTTATTCATTTATTTATTTAAAGAAAATATTATAGTTTACACACAAATTTTTCCACTAGGATCTAGTCGACTTGTGCGCCGTAACCTCTAATTCCTTCTGCATATTTCCAATCAGTTGCAACAGAATAAGGTTGAGTTATTTCAAAACCTTGTTCTGTTATTTTTGCACGTTGAAACTAATTATTACAAAAACAGCAATTATTATAATGATAAATATAGTGATTATGAATCATCAAACCCCCAAAATAAAAGCCATTTCAATGAATAAAGAAATAAACAAACTTTATTTAAACTACGAGTATCCCTATAATATAATACTTTCATACAATTGTTTATAGCTGTAATCGCCTCCTCTTCTGTAAGTGTATCTTCACGACCTTCAACAGCATTACGAAGGATAGGTTGTACCAAATGAGCTCCAAAACCTGTTGAGATTGTTGTTGCTTTAAATGTTGTTCCAAGTAAATCAGTATATCCAAGAAATCTGTGTTTTTTTTAAAAAAATATATGTATTTGAATCATAATATACAAAATAAATAAATAATTAATTTATTGAAAATAAATATTGTAAACGAACTTTTCTCCTTTGTGATATCCTCCCACTATAAATGAATTCCAAAGTGGATTGAATTG